CCTATATCTTATTATGTCCAAGGGACAACCGCCATTCTTAACAGTGACTATGTTAATGCATCTATAGCTCTTCAATAAAAGTATAACCTTTCTTGAAAGCGTGTACTCCGTTGTTGGCTGTGGGTTCTGACATTCTGTTAAGAATCCTTCATTATCTACGTGCCTCTCTCCTAAATCGAGATGAGCACCGGAAAGGAGAACCCTAATCTCGAGGACAAGGAGAAGGAAGGCGAAAAGGAGCCGACCCCTACCACGACTGGGGGGGGTGACTCCTACAACCCAGTCTTCGGTGCTGGTGACAGCGGCTGGGACGGGTGCTGTCCCTAAAACAACCTCCACGTTGATGTTCCTGACTCCCTCAGGGCCCAGACATCCACCCCGGCTGGGATATCGGCCGAGTTCCAGCTGGGGCCACTTTAACTCGGATTCTACGGAAGAGACTTATATGCTGACACAAGGGCCCTGGAGAGATAGCAGGTTCGACCTGGGGCTCCCAGCAGGAACTTTACCCCCCCGTATGGGGCCTCCTTTGAACCGCAGCCGGCAGCGTGGGTGACGGAGCGGTCGAAGGCGAGGAGTGTTCCCAGACGGGGGACTGGAGTGGGCCCACAGGATGGAGGTGGCTGACCAAGAGCGGCGGCAACTGCAGAGGGACATGGGGAATCTGTTCCGGGCGATCCCACAATTGGTAACTCAAGCCATCGGAGAAGAAAGACAGGCTCAACCGGTGGCACCCCAGCCTGTCACGTTTCTTTCTGACCCCAAAACTCAAAGAGCAGTAAACTCCATCCACTGAACCATCTAAAGGCTGTGTTTGGCACCACTCTGAAGTTGTGTTTGGCACCACTCCACTCCTGGAGGCAATGGAGGTGCTCTGGGCATTGAATTTGGGGCATTATTAAAGGCAGAAGAGGCATAAAGGCAGATCTAGCCAGTGGGTATTTCTCCTGTTCTCGGTTCTGAACGGTGGAACTGCAGAAGAATGGGCACCCCCACCAGGAAACATGGTTAGAAGGCGAGTTTTGGCTGCCATTCAATGGAAGGTAGACAGACCTGACTCATTAAGAGTTCCCCAGTGCAAACGAATGCCGGCAGATGTGTGGACACCCCCCCAAAAAACTTTGGTTGTTATGGGGGAAAAAGGGAAATTCAAAGATCTTGAAATGGACAGCCCTTGGGTGGTGGTGGTGGTTTGGTGTTCAGGGATAACGGCCAGCACCTTGAACTGAGCCAGAAAGCAGACAGACAGCCAGTGAACAGGCCCAATATGACCACTCTAACCAATGGCAGACAGCTGTCTCGCTGCTGTGTTTTGTACCAATTGTCATTTCCAAACCACCGTCCAAGGCAGCTCCATTTAAAGCATATTGCAGCAGTCCAATCTGGAGGTAACTGGAGCATGGCGGCCTGGTCAGGGCCTGCCCAGTGTTCCCTCTAGGCTGAGCTGGTGTGAGCTGGCTCACAGGTTTTTAGCCTCGGGCTCACACATTTTTGTCTCAGCTCAAGAAGGAGGGCTCCGGAGCAAACTGATTTACGCAGCAGCCCAATCGCTCGCTTACAACTTTAATGCCAGGAGCTCACAAAGTAGGATTTCTGCTCACAGGACCCCACAGCTTAGAGGGAGCATCCTGCCTGTCAAGCCAAGGCCAAAGCTGGGCAGAGGCAACCTTAGGACCTCCTGCCCACGAGTCAGGCTAATCCCCCTTTAAAGCTGCCTTATGTGGCAGGGCTGTGAGTCGTCACCCAAGCGGCTGTGAGTCTTCTGCCTAGCACTGAGCCCTCCCAGTTCTAGTATTCTGTGCATAGGGCAACGTATGGTCTTTCCCCCTTCATGATTCAAAAAAAGCTCCCACCAATGCTCCCCCTAAGCTGTGGAGTCTTGTGAGCAAAAATTCTACCTTGTGAGCTCCTGGCATTAAAGTTGTGAGCAGGCAATTTGGCTACTGCAGAAATTAGTTTGCTCTGGAGCCCATCCTCCCTGAGCTGAGACAAAAATGTGTGAGCTGGAGGCTAAAAAACTGTGAGCGAGCTCACACGAACTCAGCTTAGAGGGAACACTGGCTCCCACCCCCTTAATCTCTCCCCTCCAGAACGGAAAGCTCCAAACGCAGCCCAGTGGTGCTCCCTCCTCCAGGGCTCACAGTGAGCCACACCTGCAATTATCACCCAAAGAGCCGCCTTTCCTTTCATCTTTGGCACAAGGCCGCCACCTCTGTGGGAGCACTTGCTTCAAGGTGGAAACCACCTGCCAGCCACGAGCCCTACCAGGCAATCAGTTTACCGCAGAGCAGGTGCCACAGTGGGGAGTGGTGCACAAAAGGGCCACAGGTGGTGTGTCAAAGAGGCACGCGTGGCTCTCGCACCACTCCTTTAGCTTCTCCTCGTAGAGAAGGTGCGGCATGCCCACTTTTTCTAACCTTCTGGGTAACGTAGGAGATTATGCTACAGGCCCAGATACGCCTCCTTTGGCGTAAACCCCACTGGACACAATACGATTTCCTTCCAGACAGGCACAGTGGGCGTCGTGTGCCACCCGGAAACGTCTCTCTGTTTCCAAAATGGGAAGCGGACACGAGAAAAGAGATTCTGGGCAGGTGGGCGGGCAGGCGATCCCTGGCCCACTTGGGCACGACTGGCCGGTCAGTGGTGCCCCCCCAGCAGGACGCCCAGAATCTCTTTTCTCGTGTCCGCTTCCCATTTTGGAAACAGAGAGACGTTTCCGGGTGGCACACGACGCCCACTGTGCCTGTCTGGAAGGAAATCGTATTGTGTCCAGTGGGGTTTACGCCAAAGGAGGCGTATCTGGGCCTGTAGCATAATCTCCTACGTTACCCAGAAGGTTAGAAAAAGTGGGCATGCCGCACCTTCTCTACGAGGAGAAGCTAAAGGAGTGGTGCGAGAGCCACGCGTGCCTCTTTGACACACCACCTGTGGCCCTTTTGTGCGCCACTCCCCACTGTGGCACCTGCTCTGCGGTAAACTGATTGCCTGGTAGGGCTCGTGGCTGGCAGGTGGTTTTCACCTTGAAGCAAGTGCTCCCACAGAGGTGCAGGCCTTGTGCCAAAGATGAAAGGAAAGGCGGCTCTTTGGGTGATAATTGCAGGTGTGGCTCACTGTGAGCCCTGGAGGAGGGAGCACCACTGGGCTGCGTTTGGAGCTTTCCGTTCTGGAGGGGAGAGATTAAGGGGGTGGGAGCCAGTGTTCCCTCTAAGCTGAGTTCATGTGAGCTCGCTCACAGTTTTTTAGCCTCCAGCTCACACATTTTTGTCTCAGCTCAGGGAGGATGGGCTCCAGAGCAAACTAATTTCTGCAGTAGCCAAATTGCCTGCTCACAACTTTAATGCCAGGAGCTCACAAGGTAGAATTTTTGCTCACAAGACTCCACAGCTTAGGGGGAGCATTGGTGGGAGCTTTTTTTGAATCATGCAGGGGGAAAGACCATACGTTGCCCTATGCACAGAATACTAGAACTGGGAGGGCTCAGTGCTAGGCAGAAGACTCACAGCCGCTTGGGTGACGACTCACAGCCCTGCCACATAAGGCAGCTTTAAAGGGGGATTAGCCTGACTCGTGGGCAGGAGGTCCTAAGGT